GGGGAGGGTCAGCATGATCTCCGGTCCCACATCATGTTGTAAGTACGGACTGTGCCACGTCATGCCGACGTCACGAGTCCCGTAGCTAAACCAAGCGCGCTACCAACTGGACTGTACTTGCGAGTATAGTCCAGTTGGTAGCGCGCTTGGTTTAAGTACGGGACTCGTGACGTCGGCATGACGTGGCACGGTCCGTACTTACAACATGAAGACCTCTCCCGTAGTCTCTGCTTGGCGCTTCTTGAGTTTCAGAAGCCAACTAAAATCCTATCGAAAGTACCCATACAATCTGTCTGACTGCTTTTGTGGTAGTGAAGGCAGGCACATGATGAGGCGGCCAACTTTGACACGCCAAACCATCATACACCAATGGTTTCAGCGGCCATGATGTTGCAGGCGCCCTGATCGAAGGGTGATGGTCACGCTTACCAACTTACAGCTCGACTTTTGACTAGATGATGAAGCAACCCGTTCAAAATTAAAATTCAAATGGTGGCGCTGCGCTCAATCGTCAAGAGCTCCTTCTTCCGGACCCAACCAGGTATCCGGAGGCTCGAGCCTTCTTTTTTCGAAATTTTCCCGCCGCATTAAAAACCGACGGCCGCGATCACTCGCAAGACCAGATATTAGCGATCGTACACAAGCTAGCTAGGGTGGGTACCGGCCGAGTCGATTCCGACTCGAGTTGCGACAAATTTGTTACTCGGCGTATGAATTATCGTCAGCGATACCCGGTTCGCGTTACGTCGACTCGCAAAGTCGTGTGCTTGCTCACCGAGGCGTAGACTTTCTCGAAGTCAATTCCCTGCTTTTGCAGGTACCCTTTCGCCACCACGCGAGACTTGTACCGCTCCACGTTCCCAAGCGCATCCCGCTTAATCTTGTAAACCTACTTCATGGGAACCGGCTTCACCCCCATCGATGTTTCATGCACGCCATCTTCATAAACTTTATAGTAGCTACAACCGTTCTAGCTAGTTATAGCAATCATGCTCTGCCATAGCTAGTCGAGGTCCTGCATGCCGAGGTTGGCCGGATAGCTCGTTGGATAGAAGTGACACAGCCTCCAGTCCCGCATGCACCTCGATAAAGCCCCATGCTTCCGTCCGGGCTCTACATGATGCGCGATATGAACAAATGTTACTTAACGACACACATGTATCGACGCGTCTATCTTCTGTTTGCCTAACAGCTGTCGGGCTGGTGCAGATGCCACTGGCGGTTGACAATAATGTATGGAGGTCGGGGCTTGATGCACTAGGGCAGCTGGTGATTGTTTGATCGAGTTCGTATGAGCAGGTGAAAGTACGAATAACATGACAACAAAGTTGTAGGAATGACCGGATGATCCAGCACTGTCTCAGTCATCAAGTAGATGACGGTAACACCGTGTAAAATCCGGTTAACTGTACGAGCACACGCCTCACAAGCTTGACCGTGCACCTGAAAACTCCGGAGACTGCCAAACTCCTCCAACGGGGTGCGCGACGATCGTTCAGACTCTCGTTAGCAACTTGTTTGAAGCTCGTGCGCCGGATACCTGCTGACGCTTACTACGCATGGAGGCAACACCCTGCTTACAACCAACGATCATTGCTCACACTACTCGTGTCTCTGTCAGCGTGTGTTAATGCTTCTCACACATGTGACCGAGCAAAGGAGCGCACGAACTAGTCACACCTCAGGAGACGGCCCTCCCCTGTTGTGCTGCAGCACATCCCACGCCCACTGTCGGAATCGGGCCAGCGGGTTTCCAACTTCCTGGTGCACCATGATGTCTAAGGCGGCTTTCACCCCACTCATGAGCAGCATGAAGTCGCCCGCGCGAACGGGCCCCTCGTGATCTGGCTTGAGATGAAGCGTGCGGAACGCCGTGCCAAACGCAAAGACAGAGCGGGAAGAGCGGGAAGACGACGGCCCAGAGGAGAAGGAGATGGGAAGCAGCGTCGCATCGTAGTAGGTTCCGGCGGCCAACCGCGCTGCACGAGAGAAATAACAGGTTGTGCCACCGAACAGACCACCTATGACCTCATCGGACAGCACTGATCCCCCGTTTGAAAGCCAACCAACCAGACGTTTATAAAATTTGAACTTGTGGTGCAAATACAGGACACGATATTGGAGATCTCGTGGGTCGGCTGTGGACGCACCGCCAGCTGAGCGCGACCGACCGGGCAAAGCGCGCGCCCCGCCTTTGCAACTCTCGTTCCAGGCACCCAACATCCCCGCAATCATCTCCAGATGCCTGGGGTTGGTGTCAGTTCTTCAGAACTCTGCGCTTCTGATCAGAGTCGTCACACAGTCGTCACACAGAGGGATGGCATGGGGACGAGATTTTACCTTTGACGTCGCCGAGCGTCGCCTCCACCTGCAGCCCCTTCTTCGCACAAAGATCACGGAGGCGGCCAAAACACACCGCCGCGTCCGTCTCGATCTCCTCCTCGTCAGCCACGTAGAACGCCGGCAGGTCGGCGGCCCCCGCCAGCTCTCGGACCCCCTCGCCCGCGAGAAAGGCCTTCTCATCGACGCCCCATCTGGACACCTCCTGCCCGACGTCCCTGAGCAAGCCCAGCGGCTGCCCGGTTCGACGGAGCACGTTCGTCGCCCGGATTCCCGAGAATCTGGTTTGCCGCGATGGACGTGACTTGGGCTGTTCGGAGGGTGTAGGGGAGGGTGTTCACCCCATGCCAGCTCATCGACCCCCCAACGTCTTTCCCGTCCGGCGCGAGCCCCGTCCCGCCGGCCACGACGCGGTCGACCGACGCCCTCTCGAAAATATCGGCTTTGCTCCGAGGGTTCCTCCAGAAGACGGGCTTACCAGAGAGCGCGCACTGCATGCACGGGTGGCGATCGCTTCTGTTTGCGACATCGACCAGACAGCATCCGCGGCTGCAGCAGTCCTAGCCCACTCGTCCCAGCCCACTCTGGGTGCGCTGCTGCTCGAGAATGTGGCCTTTCAAGCGTGTGCTCTTTCGTACTCGGGGGAAACGCACTTGGGCCTGGCCGATGGTCGACTACTCAGAAACCACAGCTTTGGAGCCAAGGCCGGAGGAGCAACAAAGTTGGAAGTGGGCACCCTCACCTTGCCGGCGGGTCTCTCATACAGTTGCACGAGCATCCGGGACACGTCGCCGTCCGTCTGTGGACCGCCCCCGAACCTCTCGTTATGGGCTCGGATCCAGTACACCACTTTGTGAAACTCGGTCCGGTCGTGCTCTCCCAGCTCTGCGCGTGGCGGGTACGTCACGCCCTCCCTCTCCTTCTGCACGGACCACCGAAACGCAACCATCGCGTGTGAGTCCACGCGCAGGTGTCACTTCAGGCACTCCTCGGAGAAAAGCAGGTGGAGATTGCATGACCACTGTTGTTTGCCTAGTCTGATTGAACACCTCGATGAGTACCGGCGACGCTCTTTAGTGCGGCAAGTACCCTCTTTCCTCCATCTTTTCAAAGCGGGCGTGTTTCAAACGGAGCCGAACCGCTAGGCCGCCTTCGTTCAGGCTTCTGTTCCGGCTCCGGTTTCCAGCACGAACAGGCGGAAGCTTGGTTTTTAAAAGAGAAAGATGAAAACGCTCGTTACAAAAACCAAAGTGTATGATTCAAGACACTGTCTGAACTTGAGCTGGTGATTGGTCAACAACCTGTGCACGAGCGTCACTTCCTGGACGACCCGACGACAAACGGGTTGTTGTTTCTAATTTTGGGTTGCAAACTCTGGTTATGAAAACCGCAGGGTATGATGAGACGCTGTCTGGATGTCTAACTCGCGGTTGGACAACAGCGTGTGCACTAGAGCCGCCACCTGGATTCGATAAGTCTCAAGTCTAGTTTAATATAAGCTCTGGCTACGAAAAGCGCAGGGGCAGACCCTGGACGTGGTCTCCAAATTGAGCTCGGGAGGAGCTTTCAAGAGAGTTGCGTGTTCCACCACCTCCCCGGCTGTGGACCACTCATGAATGCATATACACAATGCCGGAGTGTCCGGCCGCAGGAAAGATTCTCAAACGGCAACCCCTCCCTCGTCCTATCATGTGCGCAAAGCGCTGGTTGATATAGTGACGCTGCGTTCTTGTTTGCGTTTTCCTTTTTTATCTTTTTTCGGCGCTGCCACGTGGCGACTCTCTCGTTACAGTGCTGAGACTGTCGCGACACACTACTCATCAGAGATGTCGCGAGGCAAATGACCGACCTCGAGCTGGTTTTGATCTCCAGCCAGCAACATTGAGGACCGAGAAGAAAGGTTTCCCCAGGCTAAAAAATGCCTCACCTGATGAGCGGACGGCGGGTAGGTGCGACAATCGAAGCAGCGAGCGTTGACCCGCCGCAGCTCGACCAACACCTCCTCGCTCGTCTCCGGCATCCGAAGCCCGAATTCCGCTGTGGCAGGCAGCAGGCACATGCGTCCGTGGGTAATGCGCTCGCCGCAGAGCGCGCATGGCTGGATAGCCGGGGGTGCTGCCACGTCATCAGCGTCCAAGGCGGGCTGTGCTTTGGCGACCCAGGCCACCAAGCCGCCGTCGCTCTCGTCGCTAGCTCTCTTTTCCCGGTCAGGAAGAGGGCCGACTCCCAGCCCGCTCCACCATTCGCCTGCTGTCCCCGGTATGGGGCTGTGCCAAGCTTTTCCGGTGACCCCGTGGTCTTCCTCAGAGACGCTCGAGTCCTGCAGTCCGTACCGGATGTAAGCGTTGGCGGCCGCCTTGCGAGCAGCCGGCCCCCAGAAGACGCGCGCGCAAAAGTCTTCGACGGACGCGTGCCTTGCGGTGCTGAGGTTGCACACGGCAGGCTGCATCCCTTGCACTTTTGCTTCCTTAAACGCTTTTTTCGCTCGCCCGCTGAGCTTGGGGGCCAAGTTCGCGCGCACGACGGCGCGCGTCCTCTTCGAGCATCCCTCGAGCGCTTCCGCCAGCTCCCACGCTTTTTGAACGACCTCTTGGCTCCCCGGGCCCTCTCGGTCGAGCGAGCATAAACACCCCGCGGCATCATCTTCGCGCGCCTCCCGAGAGCCCCCACAACGTCCGCGTCCTCTTCCTCCTCGAAGGTGTCCTCGCCCTCGGTGGTCTCCTCGCTCTCCTCGCCAGCCTTAGAATCGTTGTCGTCCGCCTCCTCGCTGCCGCTCCCGCTGTCCGAAACATACTCTCTCTGGCCGACGCCCCCCCCGGCGCTCCCCCCGTGCTCTTGCCCGGCAATCTGCTTGTCTGGCGGCCGCTCCGTCGCGGCTATTGCGACCCAGCCTGCAACCGGTTGTCAGTTCCGGGGGGGCCCACTCGCAGGTGGGGGCCGCTGGTTCCGGCGGCAGCGGCGGTGGCGGCGGGCGCGACCTTGTGCGCGTAGTCGCCGACGTCCGTGCACTTGCGCCCCCCGCCGCCCCCGCCNCCGCCCNCGTCCGTCGGACGTCGACGCACGCGAGGACGTAGCGNNGC